GCACGAACTCTTTCCAGAGAACTCATAGCTCATTATGGCTTAGTGTATGCACTGGTTCAGTGAATACTAATGTCGGTGTAGACACTGCAGTCAGTGCACTCAGTGTCAGTGTGTCACTGCAGACAGTGCGGTCACTGTCAGTGTTTCACTGCAGACAGTGCGACCACTGTCAGTGTGTCACTGCAGACAGTGCGGTCACTGTCAGTGTGTCATTGCAGACAGTGCTGCTCAGTGTCGGTGTGTCACTGTCAGTAATTCACTGTTTTCACCGAAACTGCACATCCCTAGGTTTACTAGGAAACTATAAAGGTTTCGTATTTTCTTACGAAAACTTTTTTCGCTGTACGGAACTTTAAAAAGGTTTCGTAGAAAATGGTTCGGAGAGTGTACCCGCGCTGAGATCCTTTTAAGGTTTCGTAGATTTCAACAACCATTTTTTTAAGACTTTGGATGCATTTGGAAGCTTTTAGACATCTACGAAACCTTTTTGGAGGGTTCGGTAAAGTACCTTTTTTTTTTACAGTGTGGATGGGGTGTGGATGTCGGTCTCCTTTTCACACCGACCCATACCCACACCCACACCCTTATCTTTCTTAGGAAAAACCACACAAGGTCACGATTGGTGTTCTAGATCTCACTTCAACATTTACGTATACAGTTGTGCCGAAAATGTCACTTCATGCGCATCTCAAAGCATCAACAGCAAACACGTGCGATAAATAACTTCTTGCTGGATCTGCATCTGTGTTCATGGACAATAATTTTGTTACACACAGTTCGATCGATAATGTTTGCATTGGTGATACGTTTGACCTTTCACTAGGCACAGATACCAGTGTTAAAGTCAATTACTAACCTGTAAAGGAAATGGTTGACAAACATGCTCTTATTTCGAAAATGCATCATGAGACACATATTGTAAACACCAAATCAACCGAGATCACTGTGTTCGTCTACGAACAAGTGCCTCTATCTTCGGATGAGAAGATCAAAGTGAAATTGGTGATACCTGATCTTCGTCAAAAAGATTATGCGCGCAACTGTACCGTAACAATGAACGATAGCAACAATTTGGAATGAAAATGTATATTGCAAGCGCACGGAGAATTTCGATTTCCATTAGAATATACACTTGAATGGTCAATAGATAAATGTGCAGAATTCAAAGAAGAATAGCCATGAACTTCTTAGTGCATGTTTATTTTGACAGAACACGGGTTTTAGTTCTCGATTCATGTTCTTAATAAATTAGTGTTTGAAAATAAAGCCATGTCGCATAAATATGTATTTGTCAGTTTTGAATTGGAGCAACGAACAAGTCTACTTGTGAATGTAATCTCAAAGTTCATCAGTACTCAATTTTAACTGCTGCACAGCAGTAGAGTACACTGAGTGCTTTCAAGTTGAAATCGTCATACTCGAGTAGTTATATGTTCTCATAGTAGAGCATTGGCAGAATATTATCGAAATTCATCTATGAATGACAGAAACTATGTTTCTGAGTTACTCGAAAGATGTTTTACTCTAAGTGACTGCTGAAGACAACCTTTAGAGAAAATATATCTTGGTTGCTTGGAATTCAATTCCAGTTGCATTTCTGACATTAGAAATCAAGATTGATAGACTATTTTTTCATATCGTTTCTGGATAAGGATTTGAAAGATTGTGAGGAAAAGGAAAGTTCAGCCATCTACTGTCATATCCACAACCACATCCAATCGATGCCGACTAGATGAGATGAGCGTATAGCAATAGCATTGCCACGATGTCGTGGCGGATGCCATTTTTCTCAAGTAGTGTTGTTTGATGTGTCGTTGTTCATATACGAAATATTTATGCATATTTTAGGTTTTATATACTACTAATACAAGTACCACATTTACCAGTGAACATACTTATTAAGAAGAGTAAGTTAGCGTAAATTTTTCCATACATTTCTTATCATGTCACTTGATTGCCTAAGCATGAAACATCCACATCTCTTGGCTTCTTAATACCTAAGTTATCTTTCCTTGTTGTCTGAGTACAATTACTCATCATCACTTAGATATTCAATATTCAGAAATAAAGATGATCAACTCAATTGAGATTCATTCATCATATTGCAACTCGAGATGTAGGTATATTCATACCGTATGAATCAAACATCTTTGAAGACCTTGTTCGACAATGAATTTTCGGTATATACAAGAACTGCTTGCTTCGTGAATGATATCCGATCAATATCAACTCAGAGCTTCGATAATATTGAATAATATTACCTTTGAAAAACTGTGAAGTTTTTTCCACAGCTTCAATTGAACTCCTTGAGTTTCTAATATTCAATTCCTGTAGAATAAGTTCTATTATAGAAAGAGTTTCAAATAGCAATGTATGCAATAAAACCATAGAAAACCTATATTATTTTCAGAATGATTGTGCAGAAAAAAATTTTCTTGAAAAACTCTCGATCATAAATAAAAGGAGTAAAGAAAAGAAATGGTTGAAAACAACAGCACAATCATTGGTTTCATTTCACCCATTAGTATTACCTCTCTTCTTATGGGGCATTCTCATTAGGTTAGAATATCATTAAATAACTTCAAGAAATAAAAATTAGCCGACGAGTATCATTAGAGAATTCGTACATGTTTTAAAGCTGTTCTGATTTCAACTCGTAAAACTTTGTGTAATTTGGTATTAAGAAACATTGAATACGCATCGATGAATAAGATTGAAAGTTAATTCGGTGTATTTGATCCATTATCAACTCTTAAACTCGTGAACTGTCAATGCCAAGTTGTCAAAGTAGCATGGAAACTCAGGCTCCGAATTCTCATCGATGCTGAAAAAAAAACTAATTTTACATGTATCTGCAAGTAAATGATGATTTTTTATTACTAATGAATGCATTATTAGTTGCGGATGTGGATAGAAGGCCCACACCCATCCTGTTGTAGTGATCCTATCTTTTGCACTGCTACATTAGTGTCTTTTTCACATTATAAATTAGTTGTATGTTATATATTAGTTCGATTCTAATTTGATTTTTTTCATTTCACATTGAATTTCCAGATGATACGTTGGCGGAATTATAGACAAACTAGTAGTTATTTACTCATTAAGTTCTAATACTTATTACAAAAAAAAACAATATCTTCAAGGTAGGATAAACATGAACTACATTTATTTGAATATTAAATCATTAGATATGAGTTTTTTACGTAGCGGAGTTTTTTGGTAAGTTTTCTCCATTTCAGCAATCGCATGGCTGACACCATCGGAAAAAGGATCGAGCAACGTTTGAGACGAATTCATTGTTCTTCTGTGTACAGTTCATACAGTTGCTTTATTTGATCTTCTTCAGCACCCAGTACCTTGCCAAGAGCATAGATAGCTTCCAATTCTTTTGGATAAAGTTCACCATCGGCACCAGCTGCTCGAAATCCATCTTAGATTAAATTCAATCGAGCGTATGTTCCATGAACATGATCGCTTTCAATGTGAAAAACTTGAAGCATATCACTCATACCTTTTGGCTGATAATTTTGAATTTGGTCTAACACCACTTGTGGACATCCTAATCTAGAATTTTATTACTGATCCATAGATTTAAAATAATAGATATTTACCAGTAGCATTAGCAAAACCGATGATCCATCGACGTTCGACCGCACTCAGGATTCCATCGGCTGCACCTACTTCCATTAAAGCTGTTATCTAATTTCATAACATAGTATTATTAGTTACAACAGTGTCAGAATTGTAGTCCTCTTTAAACACCCAACTACTTAGTAATTACAATACGATCAGTAGAATCGGTAGACATTTTAATTTTTCACGTGATTGAAAGTCTAACGAGATTGTCGTATTGTTGAGGCTGGATAGATATTATTAACATAAATGCGGAAACGTATATTCTTTTTCTTGAAAGTGATTTTCTATTTTTGACTCTTTGGGAATATTTCCGGCAATACATAGAAAAAATATAAAAAGACAATGGCAAAGAACAACAAATACTGCCATCATACAAATCATGTTCTAAACATATTCAAAGCTGCCTATTTATCCTTATATTTATTTCTGATCAAATGCTGTCACTTGTAAAACTATGAAGGAAAAATAGAACAATAAATCTATATATTAATACGAAGAAAGGTAGGACAAAACCAGAAATAGATCAGAGATACGCAAGTAGAAATACAGTTATAGTTTGTAATGTCATATACTTTCACCCATCATTCATCTACTGTGATAGCGATACGTATTTACTGAATGAAAGCAAACTATAATTTTATCATTTATACTATGTTCTCTGATGGCTAATGAAAAATGTATTGGGATATCTGTCAATATCAAGATCTACGTAGAATAAAAAAATTAATGGATTTGCCAAGATAAATCAACTTCTCAGTGATTTCAACATATTTCTTTTATTATTCTTTTGTTTTGACATTAAAAAAAAATTGTTTTAATTTTCTACAAAATGATATACTTTTTATTAATGTACATAGTTTCATCAGTTTCTTGAGAGTACGGTTTGTAGCTATGGATGAGATCACATAGAAGATCAACAATTAGACCAACGACACCATTTTTTCTGTACTAATTTCACCTCATCACTTAACGTTTCTCGCAAATGCGAAGATCATTACATGAATTTTATCATTTTAAATTTGTTTTATTCCATAGTTGTGATTTTACAAAATTTCTGATAAAAATGGTTATTATAATCTTCGTACGGAGACTGACTTTATAAATATTACCCGGGAGAAAAATAGAATATGTAAGAACAGAAACTATGCCTTATCCTGTGCTTGTCACCGTAAATTATGAATTTTAATTTTCTAAGTATTTGTCATCTCAAATCCGAAACCGATTTCGTGTAGAGTGTAGGTGGACTTATATGACTATAGTTGATTTGATTGTTTTCATCATTTACACCATAAACTCTCACCCATATGCAGTCTTAAATAAATATTGATTTCAATGGTTTTTTCTTGCTATTATTTATTTATTTTTTTAACTAAAAATTACTATAATCTATTGTTGTCTACAAGTAAGAATGCAAATCAAGAATTAATCATGATTTTGAAGTAGTTATTAATGTTATAGAAGAACAATCGATGATGTTAACTATCAAAGCAA